ATCCTATGTTAGGTGTATATTCAACCTTATAGGAAACTGCCAGTTTATATAATACACTCTTAATTAATAAACTTGATTACCATATGAAATGAATTCTTTTTGTCTTTATGATTTGCTATGATTTTCAATTGTATCAATATGCTATGGGTACACATTCTTCTGAAAAATATTTTTAAAGACAAGATTAACTATATTACTTTAGTGGGTATTTTTTTTTTAAATGCTTCTAAATTGTTTATACAACTTGGAATCTGGAAGACTCATTGGAAAACCTGAATGATGATCTTGTTCATGAATCTCTTGCATATTTTTATTATCTTCTTTAATGTTTAATACATACCAAATATGTATGTTACTTATAAAGCATAATTACAAAATGGAAGTTTGTAAATCCAACACTCAATCCAATAATGAACATATTTCCAAGAACTTTGCATGTGCCTAGGGGGCTCTCTCTGCTCCAAGGGAATTAATATCCTTTATTAATCCTCTTGCTAAAACAAAAGCAAAACAAAACATTTTATCATGCATTTAATTTTCTTGCTGTAAAAAAAAAGTGCAGTAATTTTTTAGTTTTCCTTGCTTTTAAGAGTTTTATGGAAATAGTATCATGCTGTGGGTGGTTTTTCAGAACTTGTGTGTTTTTACTTGATATTGTATTTCAAAGATCTACTCATGTTTCCTTTGTTTGTACTTTATTCACTTTTGCTACTGAATAACATTCCTTTCTGGGAATATATCACAACATACTGTATTACTTGTAACACTTGTCAATTGTTGTTTGTGCTGTTTCTCATCTTTTCCCTTAATATATATTACAACTTTGGAGAGTCTGGTACATTCAGCAGAGTCTTGGATGTTCAGCAGAATAATTTGAGCTAAACCTGTAACTGCATAAATAATTTTTAAAAAATGAAAACAAGCTATCAGCTTATGCTCCAAAAGAAAGAGAATCTACAGGATACCTGAGGCAAGTGGTGTACAAATGTGTGTGTGTGTGTGTGTGTGTGTGTGTGAGAGAGAGAGAGAGAGAGAGAGAGAGAGAGAGAGAGAGATTGACTCATTGTCAGGGTGGTTGTGAAGACTAATTGGAGTCTTCACATATTAATTGGATATTTGTCTATATGATTTCATTCCCAAGATTTTTTTTTTGTGTGTGTGGGGGGGGGCAGGGGAGAAAGCTTGACTGGATAGGCAAAACAATTACAAAGAAATAAAATCATTTTTTTTTTTTTTTTGGTCAATGTGATCAAGTTAGAGCCTAAAGGCAATTTACATTTTGTTTTCTTCCCCTAAATAGTAAGCGATATACTAAGTACTTAACTTCATTGTCTAAATTTATTAGTCGTATTGACTTCCTACTACTTTAGGAAAACACATTTTAAAAACTCACAAATGAAAAATCATTTTTGTAAATGATTTTGTAAATATTTCGTAAATTTTTTTTTAATAAATGACATAAAGTCTTATTTAACACCTACAAAGGACTGTATGCATATCTATTTATTCTATATATATTCTTATGTTCTTGGGAAAAATAAATGAGCATTTTCATTACTAACACTAAAAATGTATTGTGTAGTATTTTAAAACTTTATGTTGCCCTAATCTTCTAAAAACCATTACCAAACTTTTGTCTTATTGCAAATGTCTTAAAAAAGTCTAAACACCAAATATAATGAAAATATAGTGTTGATATTCCTTTGCACTTAAAGTATTCTGCTGAAAGTACTAGAGTGGATCTGTAGGCATTGAGATCAATCTCATGGAGCATATGCTCTGAAGACATATTTAAAATTTAGTAGGCTGAATTTTAATTATTCATTTGTATTGCCTAATTTTTAAATGATGAATGCTAAAATTGAGATTTTAATACATTTCTTTGTTAATGTCCAAGCACATGTAAATCTGGAATGTTATTTAAAAATTAAGCCGAATTGTAGTTAAACAAAACAAAAATCCCACATGCATAACTCGCTTAAGTTAAAAACAAAACAAACAAACAAACACAACAAACACAAGGTTTATTTCTTTCTATACAACGGACTCACTGAATTGAGCTAAAAATTTTTAAGGGGAAAACTGATCTAGAAAATAAATACAGAAGAAAAATGATAGCTTTTGATCTATTTTCTAGCTCTTAATTTAAAAGATGATTTATGAATGATGGGCTATATAGTGTGATGCGGAAATCTTTTACAATTCGAGAGTATTTTTTTTTTAAAAAAACAACAACCGTTTTGAACAATCAATAAAACAACAACAACAACAACAACCACCGTTCTTTCCTATAGAACAGGTCCCTTCTATCAGACAGTGTGATTGTTTATAAGACACTTTTATCCGATCTAGATATCAACGACTCTCTTGTTTGCCATTTTCTTCTTCTTCTTTCAATTTATTATTGACATCGATTAGCCCGAGTCATGAAACCCACCACATTCAGGGTGACACGTGGTCCGTTCACTATTTTTAAAAGTCCATGTATTTCGAACTCCTCTTTCCAGCCATCGCTGGGCTATTTCCTCCTTTTGAGGACCTGACCTCCGCAGCAGCATTTATTCATTAGATGGCAGTCCTGGGGAAATCTCTCTTTGGGGAAACATCTCCACTGGCACATTCGGGAAAAACTACTGAGGAGACTTGGGTTGGTGCTAGTTTCTAGTCACTTACGTATCAAACGAAGCAAGAGGACGTGCGGGGAGGGGGGAGAGGCAGGTGCGGGTGGGTTTCCGCAGTGGTCAGCGATCCCGGGTGCGTGCCGCATGTTCCTAGGTTGTGACCGGACCCTGAAGAAGCGTCCGGGTGCGGGTCCCGGCACCCCCATCCCTTTCTCTGGGGCCCCTCAGACACGCCCCCCTCCCGGGCCCAGCAGCCCAGCACAGTGCACGCGCCCCGGCCGCTCTCCGCAGCCGCCCACGTGGTGGAGCCCTGAGAAGCGCGAGGCCTCAGAGAGCGCACTGGGCGGGCGGGCGCGTCGGGGAGGCTACGCCAGCACTACCCAGCAAGAGTCGGCCCCCAGCCCGGGCCCCCACATTTCCTTCCCCGGAGGGAGGGAGGCGACACTCCACGGGCCAGCCCTCCCCGGCGGCTGCCGCGCCCTCTGGCGGCCGCCGTGGGGACGCGCCTTGGGCATGCGGGACCGCCTGTCTGGGCCCCCCTTCCCGGGCTCGGGGCCCGCGGCGGGCTCTCGCCCCTAGCGCCCCAGAACCCAGCCACGAGGACCCGGCCCTTCCCCTCCAGCTCCTCGAGAGACCCTGGAACTCCGGACACCCCGGTTGCGATGCTGCAGGCATCTAGCCTTGCGTGAAAAGTGCCAGCCATAGTAGCCTGGGGGGGGGGGTCCCCTTTCTCCCAGGTGTGCCCTTCCTGCCACATTCGGGCTTTCCAACACGCTGCGAAAAAATGCCGCATGCACGCACTTATTTATTTATTTAGCAACAGCTACAAGAAACAATGAAGCTTTTCAAGAACCCGGGAAACGCGCTTCCCAGCCCCGCTGTTGTTGTTTTCAATGAACCTCTCTGGGCTCCTCACTCCCCGCCCACCCGGCCCCCACCTCTCCCCTGCCTTCTCCGCCGCGGAACCCGGACCGGCGCCGGGGGCATTGTTTTTGGAGTCCTGCGGGAGGGGAGGGTGCATGCGGGGAGGGCGCTTGCGGGGAGGGCGCGTGCGGGGTGGCCGGCGCAGTGCGGGTGGGGGCGGGAGCGTGTGGAGGCGCGCGCGCTTGTCTGTGTGTGCGCGCGTGTGCCGGCGCGGGCGGGGTTGTGGGGGCGGTGTCTCACAGCCTCGCGCCCCACGCCCGGGCTCCGATCCGCACGTCCCTGGAATCCCGGACTCCGGCTCTTGGAGTGTGCCGGCCTGGCCCGGCCCTCGGCGCGCCTCGGCTGCGGCTGTGGCCGCTCAAGTGTGCGCGCGGGCACGTGTGCGCGGCCCCGGGAGCACGCGCGCGAGCCCCCAGTGTGTGGCAGCGGCGGCGGCAGCGGCGCGGCGAGGCTGAGGCTCTTGTTTACCAGCATTAACTCCACTGAGCGGAAAAAAAAAAAAAAAAAAAAAAAAGGAAAAAAAACCCGAGGAGGAGCGAGCGCACCAGGCGAACTCGAGAGAGGAGAGCAGGGGAGAGGGACGCTGCCAGCGAGCCTGTTCCCGGCGCGCCCGTGGCCGGCGCTCGCAGACCCTCGGCCCGGCTCCCCGGACCCCCCTCCCGCACCCTCCACGCCCCTCCCGCGTGAGGGGACCTCCACCGCGCGCCGCGCGCCTCAGCTTTGACCTTCAGCGAGCCGGAGCCCCCGCGCACGGAGTCTGCGGCGGCGGGCGGGGGCCGGCGCGGGGCGGGCGGCGGCGGGGAGCCTGGGCTGCGCGGCGGGAGTGCTAAGCGCGGCGCGGCCGGCCCGCCGCTTTGTGTGTGTCCTGGATTTAGGAAGGAGCTCGCGGCGGCGGCGGCGGCGGCGGCGGCGGCGCTGAGGGAGGAGGCGGCAGTGAGCGGAGCCCGGAGGAGGAGGGGGAGCCGCTCATTCATTTTTACTCCGCATTTCTGTCCCTCCCCGGCCTCGCCCGCGACCTAGACTTCGGGGCAGTCTTGTGAACTGCGTCGCGCTTTCCCAGCGCGGAGGCTGGGGCGTCCGGCAGCCTCCCTCTCAGTCTGGGGGTCGGGTTTGTTTGTCCTCGCCGAGACGGATTTTGGCTTTGCCCCTTTTCTTAGCAGTTTTACCCGTATTTTGCCTCTCTGGGTTTGAAAATGGAGGCCGACGACGCCGACATCCCGCCCAGGCGCGCCTCGGGTTCCCGACTCAGCCGAGCCTTGGGCCGCTGCTGCCGGCGCTGAGGGGCCGCCCCGCGCCGCCGCCCGCCCCGTCAGCGCTGTCCGCTGGGCCCCCGGGCCGGCGCCGCCTTCGAAGTATTGTTTCCTTCACCTTTTTTTTTTTTTTTTTTTGGGGGGGGGGGGAAAAGTCGGTTGGAGACTTTTTTTTTTTTTTTTTTTTTCCTTTTTTTTTTTTTTTTTTTTTTGGAGAAAAGGGGAATTTCGTCCCAAATAAAAGGAATGAAGTCTGGCTCCGGAGGAGGGTCCCCGACCTCGCTGTGGGGGCTCCTGTTCCTCTCCGCCTTGCTCTCGCTCTGGCCGACGAGTGGAGAAAGTGAGTATGTGCCCGCGGCCACTGCGGGAAGTTTTCCTCTGAGGGGCTGCGCCCTGTTTGCGAAACCCGAGTTGCCACCGTCGCAGCTGTCGGGCCCCCGGGCTCGGGAGCGGCGGGGCGGGGCGCGGAGGGGGCTCTGCCGGAAGGCCTGAGCCGACTTGGGGCCCGAGCTTCTTGGTTTGGAGCCCCGCGGGCCCGAGCTCAGCGCATCCCGCGCGGGAAGGGCTCGGGGCTTTCTCTTTCGTGGTCCTGAGAGCCTTGTCCCGCGGCCTGGTGGGTGGGCAGTGTTCAGTCCCTGGCTGCTTAGTGGCCGGGCTAGGACCTGAGACCTGGTAGCGAAGTTGGCACCGGGCGGGCCCCGCAGCCCCCGGGCCCACTGCACTCTCACTTCGCCCCTCCCTGATGCGCGGGCCGCTCGGCACACACCGCTGACCCCAGCGTGGCGCACAGACAGTGCTGACAGTACCCTTGGTTGTGCTGCGCGTCGCTGCTGGAGCAGACAGGGTGCTTGGTGGTGGGGATCGGGGAGCCGCTCGTTCTCCGGGTGCCAGTTGTCCTCGAGGGGAAAGTACCCGGCAGAGAGTCCCCGCAGCCCCAGGACACGTTTCCAAATATCCCGGCGAGGCCTCCAGTAGCACAACTTGCTTTGCTCCTCCAGGCACCTTGGGTTCCTGGTCTTTGCCATCATTTTAGAGTATTCGGCTTGTGTGAGTGTGTGTGTATTGGGGGGGGGGGGGTTTCCCTCATCCTGGTCGGTCCCTAGGAAAGTGTGAGGTCGGGACCTTCATCACCCAGGCTTTTCGGGGGCGTGCGACCGAATCCCTAGTTCAGACGGTTCAGGGGCTGTTTCCGTTTTTTACCCAGCTGGTGGACGCCTTTTTTCCTCCCTAAGGGTCTGGGGGATGGCAGGGTAGCGTCCACGTGTGCGTTAGTGGATGAGTGGTCGGAGCCGAAGGGCATTCACACACACGTGCTCGCAATGCGGGGTGTAGCTACGGCCACACGGGGACTTCTAGATGCCTGGCCATGAAAAGAGGTGTCGTGTGCTGTCGTGTGGGGAGCTGCTGGGTGTTGGGGGGGGGGGGGGGGGGGGGGGAATGGAGGGTGTTTTGTGTTTTGTTTTGCGAGCGCAAAGCCCTGGCCTTGGTTTTGTTGTGGCCAGAGTTTTGTTGCATTGCCAACCCCCCGCCCCACACTTCCTTTGTACGTAGTTAATAAGCAATATTGCCCCATACTCGCTATCTCTTGCAATCTGATAGCTTTTGTTTTGCTGGTGTCCGGTAGGGGTAGGTAGGCAAGCGCGGGGACATAGAGAATGAGAACTCCCCCATGGTATGTGGCGGCAGGAAAAGGAGGGGGTTTTGTTCTACAAAAATAAATAAATAAATAAAGTATGGCGTACTGTTGGTACGTTTGAGATGGTAGGGTAACTTGAACACGACTGAAAGTTTAAATGCAGTCGCAGAACTGGGGCTGGGAAGGGTGAGGGCGTGTTGGTGAGTAATAGTTGCCGAAGTATGCAGGTGGTGCCTACTAAGTTTGAAAAATCATGACTGAGCCTTGAGGAGTGAGGGGGAGAAACAGGCAGCGGGGGCTGTGTGGCTCCATCACAGGGAAAAATCAGAAAGGGTGTTTTTATAAACAAATCCTTAAATGTCTTGTAAGAAATGAGTCCACGATGGAGGAAGAGTAGATCTTTGCAGAATTAGCGTGTTTACTGCATAGAGTTAGACAGCTGGGGGATGGGACTTCCACAAATCTGGACTCCCCTGGTCTTTGTTTTTTCCGAACTTTTATCATACTGGATTGGGCGTAAGGCTTCCAACTCCCTTCTACTGGGGTGGGCAGGGGGCCTTCTATTCAGGCGTTTAATAGTGTTTGGGGGGCACAAAAGAAGCTTTCTAGCCTTTAAAAGCTAAATAAATATAATTCAGAAGACATGGGAGAGCTAATACATTTTATTATGACATACTGTTGAAATATGTAGTTTTATTATATAATATGAATTCTGAAATTCAAAGGAGCAGTGGATGGTCTTTCTCCTCCCAGACAGGATGCAGGCATCTTAAAATAGTATGTCTTGTTATTTGGAGCATTCTTCTGAAGATTCTTTGTAATAGGTGCTTTCTTAAGAACATAAGAGGGGAAAGTGTGTTTTTATGTACGGTTTTAATCCTACCTCACCCAGACTCTTCCCAACGATTCTTTTAAAATGGTAATTCCTTAAATCCTGATAGATGGCCAGAAGGCACCCCAAATTCTGATTATGGTTTGCTGAAGTCCTGAGTCAGTATCTTCCCCTCCCTCCTCTCTGTAGCTTTGAGGATTTAATCTTGTATGTATGAACATTTCCTTTAGTTTTTAGTCTGAAAGGTGCTAGACCACTTAAAAGAAAGCAAGTGAGTTTTTTCAGAGAGGAGTAGTAGATTGGGGTGTTGTTGGTTCACTTGCAGGTATTGTGTTGACATATTTAGGAATTAGTGACTTCTCTTTTGATAGCTACAGCAGTGTGGCATTTTTAACTTAAAAGATGTAGAAGTCATATGGACATGCTTGCTTTGTGTAACTCTACTTGAGCAGATCTTTGAAATAAAGGAGGTTTGGAAGTTACAAGTGACAGCCAAATAATCTCATGGCTGTTCTCTTTTTTAAAATTAACAGGCTTTTCTTTTTTTTTTTTTTTTTAATTTATAGTGGCCATCTCCTAAACAGGATTTAGTCATCTTTTTGCCCCAGGCATATATTCTATTGTCAGAGAAATATAGGTATGTGAATTGTTGGTGTTTAAAATAGTGTTTTATTATCTACCAGAAGGAGAATCCAGAATAAGAAGTTTCCAAAGTAGCAAATTATAGTTTAGCATCTCTAGAGGAAAATAGCAAGCAAACAGTATTTTGTGGAGGGGTAGTGTGGGGATCAAACGTAAAAGGCCATATGTTTGATTTGTCAAAAGGATTGGAAAATTTCAACATTAAGAAATAAAGTTGAATAGATGAACCTTAAAAACATTACAAAAAGTGAAAGAAGTCAGTTATAGAAGATGACAGCTTGTGTGATTCCATTTGTATGAAATGTCCAGAATAAGCAAATCCATAGAGATAGAAAATAGTGGTTGCCAGGGGCTGAGGAAAGACAGAATGAGGAGTGACTGCTAATGGGTTTAGGGTTTCTTTTTGGGGGTGATAAAAATGTTCTAAACTTCCTTGGTTGTGATGGTTGCACAATTCTTAATATACAAATCACTGTTAAATTATACATTTTAAATTAGTGACTCTTATGGTATGTGAATTGTATCTCAGTAAACTTTGTTTTTAAAAATATGCTAAGGTTGAAAATGATGTATTGTGCTACCTCAGACATAAAAATTAGATTAAAATTATTGAATAAATTTGTCTTTCAGTTTGGTGCCTTTTTTTTTTTTTTTGAGTTTTTCAGATCCTTGAATTACAACAATACAACAAACTGATAATTGAAGCTGTAGCAGCAGAGATTCACTGCCATAGGAAGGAGAGAGACAAGCAGGGAAAAATGAATCTTGGGCATACACAGCTTGAGTTAAGGCTTGAGTAGAGGAATTAACAAACACACATATGCTAGTGAAAGTTAGAATTTTTTGGTAGAAAACCCTCGACTACATCTGAAATGATGTTGGTCTTTTCAAGATAGTTTAGGAACCTAGTCTGGATGGCTGTTTGCATTTCCAGTTTTATTGTGTATGTTTTCCAACAAAGAAATAATGTGCTGTATTAAGATGGTAAAGAATTTCCACTCTTTTTTGATATGCCATGCTAACCACAAGTGTTAGTAAATAAAGACTGTTCATTTTAATACAGTGTTTTGTTTTTTTTTCTTTTTTGCTAATTTTGTATCTTAAATAGCTCTCGGATCTGAGCAGGAGGAGGAATCTTTGTAGAATACAGTAATTTCAGGCATTTAGTTATTTTTATTAAAAATATTAAAATTTATTACAGAACAAAATATTTAAAAATATGGTCAGGACTTAAAAATCTGTTATTCCTTAATATTGTTATTTCTTTATCCAGATTTACATTGGCCTTTCAATAGAAGATCCAGAAGAATAGTTGTTTACATTGGGTTTTGGTCTTTGTCTAAGGCTTAGTTTACTAATAAAAATGTTTCCTGCCCCTCCTATTGATGCAAGATCAGAGCAGTAATGAAAAACAAATATATCATTTTCACTTGTTGCCTTAGCCCCCCACCCCCCACCCCAGTGTTGCCCTCAAGGGATGGTTGTTTCCTTTTTAATGTGGTTTCATTTGCTTTGTAAGAATGTGCTGTGAAAAGTAACTGAATCTAGGCAGCACTTAGTGGGCACCTACTATATGAAAGCTGACTTTGTGCTAGACAGTACATGAGCCTACAAAGACAGAGAACTGTGCTTTTGTTCTTGGGTATTTTATATATAAACTTATATGAAAGAAAGTTACTTGAAAATTCAGTTTTTTTTTCAGACTCAGGACAGAATACAATTTTCATATAGACAGTGAGTAGCATTTTAAAGACCCTTTAAAGACCTTTCTCTAGGCTTAAGACCTGATATACAGCAATGCTGATGGTCTTGTGTATAGGCAGTGCTATGCTATCTTTGCCTTATTAATATTTTCTCTTATATTGAAATGTCATTGTAGGCCATGATGTACAGGCATCTGCCCATCTTAACCAACAGCATTGCCTTTTTAATAACATTGGTTATGACTGTTGTGATTTAAAATGTGCAGTGTTGTTACCTTTTGCCAGAATATTGGGAGTCACAGGTGTGTACCTGAATGCTGCCTGGCATGTTTTGAGTTGTAAGAAAGATGGGACTTATTTTGAATTTTTCTTGGATTTGTACATTGCATAGTTAGCTTTCTGATAATCATTGGGAAATGTTCATAATTCAGGCCTTTTTATATATAATTTTTTAAATAACTGTTTTTTTTTTAAGTGTGAGGGACTAAAAATAAGTTTGAGATGGCAATTAAATCCTGAAAGTTTTT